CTTAGTTCATGACATAAAAACTGAATACACTTGTAAAAATAGAATACGTGGATTTAACACATCACAAGAAATATTGAAATAAAATTCGAGAAGGACCAATCACACAGATAACTATGAATATGACCTGAAGATGGTCTATAAGACCGAAACGTCCGACGTTGACATTATATTTACATTAAAACAGCATAATTGCATATTAGGATTTTTGTTTGTTTTTTCCGTATTTTTTTTTCTTATATATATATATATATATATATATATATATATATATATATATATATATATATATATATATATCAACTATGGAATCTCTACAAATGTCTATAATTGGTAACAGAAGTCATTGGTTTATACCAACGGCTTCCCATACTTATTACTTCTCGAATTCACTTTCGCGTGGTCATGTGTGACGTCATGAGCTGCGGTGCGATTTTCGCTTCTAGCGTCTTATATGCACGTGTTTATCATTGCTAGGAAATCATCCATGTAAACGATTAATATTTTGTACAGTAATCGACATCTTTGATAATGGCTTATGTAAGCCAAAAGCTTAGATTGGATTAAAAAATATGGATCAATATTGTGATTTTCTTTCTTCGTTTAATGATAATGTTATTAAGTTTATCAAACGTTATAAAAAGAATTAACATAAAATAGACAACACTTGTCTATATTATTTAATGAAACATACATATATATATATATATATATATATATATATATATATATATATATTCAACTATAGGTGCAATTATAATTTATAAATTCATGAATCATTCATACAAAAAAAAAACAAATATAGAGGTTAATGCCATTTAAATCATTAAACTATATATTTTGTTTTTTTTTTGTATGAATGATTCATGAATTATATATATATATATATATATATATATATATATATATATATATAGCAGGACAGACTTAGTTCTATAGCCTTGGATGGCAACTGGTCTAGGAAAGGACAACTCAGAATTCAAAACCTGCCGAGAGTCGTTTGGGGACCTTGTGGCACGTAGTGCACCAGGTCTCTGTATTCGGCCCTTCAAAAGTGTGGATGGTCCTGCACGAAACCTTCAACAGTCGGTTTCCTAAGAACTGATCTGCTTGACCCTCATACGTTGAATTCGACAGGAGAGTCGTGTATATATATATATATATATATATATATATATATATATATATATATATATATATATATATCGGAGCAACAGATCATTATTTTAACATACATTGTTAAATATAACAGACAATGAATGTCTATTATGTTTGATCATGAGCCGTTCTAAACTTTGTATGGTTGCTTTAATTTCGGGTGCAAATAAAGACAAAAATTGTCCAAAATTTGGATATATTTTTTAAGCTGTTCCTTGATTTAAGCTTTAGGCTCACATGACCCATCTTCAGAGTAGTTATACGGACATTTAAAGAAAATATCTGTCTATATTTCTGAGATGAGGTATTATGTACACTATTTACACTGTTCGGACTATCATCCTCATCTTTGTTGCCATTTTTATCACAACGTTTCGGCCGTTGTACGTGATGGTTGGAACTGAACCCTCGCTCGATGGGGTAGACTGTTCTAGTTCCACGTGCCATGCCTAATGAATGTCAGTTATCAGTTATCTCGACCTATTGGAACAAAATTTGCTCAAGAAAACTAAGTTACATAAAATATTTAATAAAAATAACGTCAAACTTAGTTACTGCTAAACGTAGCGACTTTAATTAGCGGTTTTAATGAGAAAAAAAAAAAAATCTAGGGACAATCCACGCGTTACTACTTCTAGTTGTAATTGTAGGAACAAAAAAATCTGTCCCCTACAGGGAAAATGTCAACAGGAGTGCGTGGTTTACCAGGCTAAAATTTACAAGGACATAGATGACTGCAATAACGATATAAACCCTAAAGTGTATATAGGAGCTACTCAGGACGTATTTAAAAAAAGATATTAGGTTGGTGCAAAAATAATGACGTAATAATGTCGTTTTTTGACGTATTTTTTAACGTCAAAAAACGACATTCTTACGTCATTATTTTTGCACCAACCTAATATAATTATACGAGTAGTTTTAACAATGAAAAACCAAACATAGTACTACTTTATCTAGCATGGAAAAATGGAAAATTAGACAGGAAAGTAACAAAGACGCAATCCTCAAATGTGAAATATTAAAAAGATGTTCTAAATATAAAGCAGGTCAAAAATTCTGTAAACTATGTATAGAGGAAAAATTAACCATAGCTTTATATAAGGGACTTAAAGATTTATTAAATTCAAAAACAGAGATTCTAAAGAAATGCAGACATAGAAGATCTTGGTTATTGGATTAGGCCTCGTCTCCCCTGATTATATAGCTGTTTAACCGTTTTTGCCTATGTTTATCTCTAAATCACCCCGCCTCCTTTTTAAGCCGTTTCGAATAAATTTCTTCTCCACCCTCCCAATTGTTGTTTTTTTTTTTTTTTTTTTTTTTGGTCACGTGGTCTCGGTCTTTTTTTTATCGCCTATAATTATAGTTTTCTTTACCTCTTTAGCCAGCTTTCCCTGACGATCCGCTTAGATGAAACCTTGGTAGGTTTGTCTGGCTCTCTAGGTTTGACTAGGTCTGATCTACTTTAGTATTGAGCACTTTTTCAGTTAGTTGATTATTCGTATCGGGATTTTTTTTCTTTGGGCTTTGGACCTGTATGCTGTACGATTATTTTCGACAGACGTTCATGTTCATAGCTCTTTCTTTTTTTAAAACCATTTTTTTTCCTTCGAAATTGATTTGACCATTAGCAAATCAAGAAACCGAAGGTTTTCCGAGTCGAGTGTAGTTGCCTATGTTTATATATATATATATATATATATATATATATGAAGAAATATATTCTAAAGGTGTACTATATTTATGGGATAAAGTGCTCAATATCAGAGATAAAGTGTTTGTAAACATAAAAGTGAACATTGAAGTCAACATTTAGAGGCGGCAGTTTGTTTCATGCTAGACGCAATCGTCGTGGCCTGACGATTGCGTCTAGCATGAAACAAACTGCCGTCTCTAAGTGTTGACTTCATATTCACTTTTATATATATATATATATATATATATATATATATATATATATATGTGTGTGTGTGTGTGTGTATACACATACACACACACAGAGTTAAATCTGGGATTTGCTGTTGATTATTATCGGGAGTTGATATCAGTTATGTTAAATTCATTAAATTTCCTAAACATCCTACGAAATGAATAATTTTGGTTAAAAAATGTCTGTCAATTTTAAAAACTGAGTAATAAAAATTGGTAAAAGAAAGAGAAATTGTAAATTCCTTATCACACCCATCCCATAAATTCTAAATTCGCTGTAAAGTAATGGACACAGAGTAAATATAGTGAAGAATTATCAGACCTGAAGAAATTGGCTAAGTAAAGAGATATTAGCTAATATTTATAGAATTGCTTATAAATGGACTGCACCAACAGCGAAATGCCTATCTCGATGGCCAGATTATTTCATACCATAAATATTAATAGGACGAGAAGAATGTGTTTCTCTATTCGACCGTTTACTTATTACATTGCCTCCAGGAATGGTTAGTGATTTGATGCGTTCATCTTTGTAACTCTTCATGCTTCACAATGGACAAGAATACAAATTCCTCAGGATACAATTCAGGTTTCTTTTAATCTTTTCTTTCGTTGCTTCTCCTCTTCATTTCTTTCGTTGCTTCTCCTCTTCATTTCTTTCCCCTTCTCTCTTTTTCTCTCTACTCCTCCTCTCTCCCCCTTCGCTTCAATTTTCTCTTCTTCTCTCCCTTCCTCTTCTCTCCTCTTTTCTCTCCCCTCCTCTTCACTTCTTTCCCCTTCTGTTCTCTCCTTTTCTCTCTACTCCTCCTCTCACCTTCTCTTCACTTTTCTCATCTTCTCCCCACTTCTCTTCAATTTTCTCATCTTCTCTCCCTTCCTCTTCTCTTCCTTCCTCTTTTCTCTCCCCTCCTTTTCACTTCTTTCCACTTCTGTTCGCTCTTTTTCTCTCTACTCCTCTCACCTTCTCTTCACTTTTCTCATCTCCTCTCCTCTCCCTTCCTCTTTTCTCCTCTTTTCTCTTCTCTTTTCTCTCCCGTCCTCTTCACTTATTTCCCCTTTTGTTCTCTCCTTTTTTCTCTACTCCTCTTCTCCCCCCTTCTCTTCACTTTTCTCATCTTCTCTCCCTTCCTCTTCTCTCCTATTTTCTCTCCCCTCCTCTTCACTTCTTTCCCCTTCTGTTCTCTCCTTTTCTCCTTCTACTCCTCTTCTCTCACCTTCTCTTCAATTTTCTCATCTTCTCTCCTTTTCACTTCTTTCCTCTTTTCTCTCCCCTCCTCTTCTCTTCTTTTCTCTCCTGTCCTCTTCTCTACCCTCCTCTTCTCTTCTTTTTTCTCCTGTCCTCTTCTCTCCCCTCCTTTTCTCTTCTTTTCTCTCCTGTCCTCTTCTCTTCCCTCCTCTTCTCTCCTTTTTATCTTATCCTCTCTTTTCTCCTCTTCTCTTTTATTCCTGCTTATCTTCTCCTATTACTTTCCTTAACTGCTTCTTTCTGCTTTTTTCCTCTTTCTTCTCTTCTCATCTACTCCCCTTCTTCTTCTCCTCAACCGTTTCATACTCTTTTCCTCGTTTTCACTTCTCTTCATATTTTCTTCTCTCTTTCTTTTTCTTGTCTCTTTTCTTTCTATATTTCTTTCTTTTTTCATTCATTTCATTTTTTTTTTATTCTCTTTATTTTTGTTACCTTTTCTCTTTCCGTGTTCCCGATGAAAACACAAAGATACGAGATCGAATTGTAGGTGGTTGAAATGAGAACGGAAAAATTAGGCCGCTGAGTGGAGAAACCAGCGTTCGAACTCTTATCGCTTGCCTCGGGTAACCAAATCAGTTGCAGAAGAAACTCCCAAGTAGAATTTGTTTATACATTTTGGCATTTTTGTCAAAAACAATTTTATTTTATACCAGTTGTCTTCTTTGATATGTTTCTACTAAGCAGTGTTTTTTTTTTTTTTTTTTTATCCATTCTTTCTTTATTTATTTCTTTCTTTGTCTTTTCATTTCTTTCTTTCTTTGTCTCTAACTTTTTTTTCTTTCTTTGTCTTTTTCTTTATTTATTTATTTCATTCTCTCTTTCTATTTTTTTCTTTTTTTCTTTCTCTCTTTCTTTCTTTCTTTCTTTCTTTCTTTCTTTCTTTGTGTTTTCCTTTTTATTTATTTCTTTTTTCTTTTCCTTTCTTTCTTTTTTCTTTTCCTTTCTTTCTTACTTACTTATTTTCTTTCTTTCTTTCTTTCTTTCTTTCTTTCTTTGCTTCTTTGTTTGTTTCTTTCTTTTTTCTTTCTTTTTTTCATTTCTTTTTTTATGTCTTTTCCTTTTTCTTTCTTTGTTTCTTTCTTTGTATTTTTCTTTCTTTCTTTGCTTCTTTGTTTGTTTGTTTCTTTTTTTCTTTCTTTTTTCATTTCCTTGTTTTTCTGTCTTTTCCTTTTTCTTTCTTTGTTTCTTTGTTTGTTTCTTGCTTTCTTTTTTTCTTTCTTCGTTTCTTTGTTTTTTCTGTCATTTATTTCTTTGTCTTTTCAATTCTCACTTTCTTTTCATCTTTGTGATTTCACTTTATTCATTTCTTTTTCTTTTTCTTTCTTTTATTCTTTCTTTTTTTCTTTCTTTCTTCATATTATCGTTTGTTATGCCTGTTTTTTCTTCTATCGTTCATTTTTATTGATTGTATCTATTTTCGATCCTTCTTTCTATCTTTGTTTTTCTTTTCCTTCCTTTCTTTTTTTTTTTGCTTTCTTTTTTTGTTTTTCTTTTCCTTCCTTTCTTTTTTTGCTTTCTTTCTTTGTTCTTTTTTTTACTTTTTTCTTTCCGTCTTTCTTTGTTTTTCCTTTATTTATTTATTTCTTTGTCTTTTCCTTTCTTTCTTTTCTTTACTTTCTTCTTTGTGTTTTCGCTTTCATTCTTTTTTTATTAATACTTCGTCTTTTTCTTTCTTTCTTTGTTTTCTTTCTATCTTTCTTTCTTTCTATCTTTCTGGTATTACTTTCTTTCTTTCTTTCTTCCTTCCCTTCCATTTTATTTTCCTTCTTTCTTTCTCACATTTACCTCCGTTTATGTCCCTTTTTTCTTCTTGTTTTCACTTCTTTTGTTCTTTTTTGATTGTATTTTTTTCATTCGTTCTTTCTTTATATTTTTGTCTTTTCCTTTTTTTTCTCCCTTTCTTTATAATTTTGTTATTTCTTTCTTTTTGTTTTCTTTCTTTATTTTTTTCTTTCTTTGTGTTTTTTTCTTTCAATTTTGTCTTTTCCTGTCTTTCTCTTTTTGTTTCTTTATCTTTTTGTTTCTTTATTTTCTTCTTTCTTTCTTTTTTTGTTTGTGCCTTTCTTTCTTTTTATTTATTCTTTTTCTTTCTTCCTTCGTCTTTTTCTTTCGTTCTGACTTTCTTTCTTTCTTTCTTTCTTTCTTTCCTTAGTGTTTTCTTTGTTTGCCGTCTTTCTTCTTCCTTTTTTTGTCTTTTTTTCTTTCTTCATTTAATTTTCACTTTTATCGCTTGTTATGTCTGGATTTTTTTCTTCTTGTTTTCACTTCTATCGTTCAGTTTTATCGATTGTATTTATTTTCGTTCTTTCTGGTGGAAATTTTTTTCCTCGTCTCGTTTAATTTAATCTTCTTTCCTTTCGTCATTCTTTTTTCTTTCTTTCTCATTCTGTTTTTGTTTTTTTCATTTTTTAATGTTCAGTATTCTTTTTTCGTTCTTTTAATATTTTCGCTTTTTTTTTTCTCATTCTGGTATTGATATGCCGTTTTGCGTAATTAATAGTGCAACTTGACATGAGAAGTATTAGAGCCGGAGTCGAATACCCGCGAATTTTTTGCATTCACTTACGCGCAAATACATTTGGGAAAAGCAAGAAACCATTACTTCTCTCCCCAGCTATGATACAATTAATAAATCTTTATCTGTAAAAATTATTGTTAGCGCAATATTCAACAAAGGGTTGATAAGCCGTAAAAATCAGTCTAATCTCTTTTTGTTTTTGTCTCCTTTCTAGTCCATTTTTCCTTTTATTTTTACAGCTTTTTCCTTTCCTTCTTTCTTTCCTTCTTTCCTTCCTTCTTTCCGTTTTCTTTTCTCCCCTATTGCACCCCACCCCGTTTAAAACCCAATTCCACATCTCTCTTTTGAAGATCCCTTTTCGTTTTTTTTAATTTGCTTTCCATTGTTTCCATTTGTTATATTATATACAGTTTTCTCTCTTTTTCACTCACACAAGTAACCCCTCTCTCTCTCTCTCTCTCTCTCTCTCTCTCTCTCTCTCTCTCTCTCTTACCCTCTCTTTTCTTCCATTACCATTTTCCCTCTTTTTTTCAGTGGTGGTAGGGAGCTACTTTTCTACTTCCTTTTTTTCTCCTATTTCTTCATTTTCCAGTTCCTTCCACAGTTCTTTTGATATCTTTCCTAACTCTGAGTCTAAAGGCTTTTGGAATAATCAAAGCTCTCTACAGAAGTCCAATCGATTATTGGACAATTTTGATGCTAGCAGAAAAGAGAAAAGCGATAGGAATGCTGGCTTCCATATTTCTCCTAAACTCTCTCAATGTAATGAAGGCTGTAATAAAAACAAAGCAATTCTAACCACGATATTGGCGATCCTAACATTAACTGAAGTCTTCTGTTAATATTTTTAGAAAGGAAGTTTACAGAAGCTACTGATTGTGAGGGATCTGATACAATTTACCGGTTTAAATAGATGTTTAAAGTATAGATGCTTCAATACTATAAATAGATGTTTTAATACGTTAAGTAGATGTTTTTACTAGTGGTGATGTTTAAGTTTTACAAGCATTAAATTTAATTCCTTTTCTACCTTAACTGAGAAAGTTACAGACTTTTCTGCTTAAAATAGAACCTTGTAAAAGAGAGAGAGCCTTATCCACTTTTCTGCCTTAACTGAGAACCTTACCGACTTTGCTGCCTTAACAGAGCCTTACCGACTTTGCTGCCTTAACTGAGAACCGACTTTGCTGCCTTAACAGAGCCTTATCAACTTTTCTGCCTTAACTGAGAGCCTTACCGACTTTTCTGCCCTAAAAACCTTACCAACTTTTCTGCCTTAACGGAGAGCGTTACCGACTTTTCCGCATTAACTGTAAGCCTTACAGACATTTCTGCCTTAAATTGGAACCTTACCAATTTTTCTGCCTTGACTGAGAGCTTTACCGACATTTCTGCTTTAACTGAGAACTTTATCAACTTTTCAGCATTAACTGTCAGCTTAACCAACCTTTTTGCTTAACTGAGAGCCTTACTGACATTTTTGCTTTAACTGAGAACATTACCAACTTTTATGCCTTAACTAAGAACCTTACCAACTTTTATGCCTTAACTAAGAACCTTAACAACTTTTATGCCTTAACTGAGAACCTTACAAAATTTTCTGCCTTAACTGAGAACTTTACCAACTTTTATGCCTTAACTTAGAAATTTACCGACTTTTCTGCCATAACTGAGAACCTTACAGACTTTTCTGTCTTAACTGAGAACCTTACCGACTTTTCTGCCTTAACTGAGAACCTTAACAATTTTTGTGCCTTAACTAAGAGCTTTATCAACTTTTCTGCCTTAACTGAGAACCTTACCCACTTTTCTGCTTTAAGTGGGAAACTTACCAAATTTTCTACCTTAACTGAGAACCTTACCGACTTTTTCGCATTAACTGTAAGCCTTACCGACATTTCTGTCTTAACTGGGAACTTTATCAACTTACCAGCCTTAACTGAGAACTTCACCGACTTTTCTGCACTAACTGAGAACCTTACCAAAATTTCTGCCTTGACTGAAACCTTTGCCAAATTTGCTGCCTTAACTGAGAGCCTTACAAACTTTTTTGCCTTAACTGGCAACCTTACCCTTGATAAAATGTAAACAAAGTGATCATTAATTCTGCAAAGGGAAATTGAAAGAAACTCTGCGCTTCATAAATGACGAGTGAGCATCAAAAATAGAAATTTTAGTCAACTAAAATTTTAGTCAACTAAAATTTTAGTCACCTAAAAGTCAACACCCTCACAGATTTTTCGTATTGTTTGAATCCGACTTGGTGGTTTAGTAATTTCTTTCATTTCATTTAATCTTCTAGGAATTTATCGTAAAAAATATTCTTTAAAAAAATTTATTTTTTCCTTTTTAACAGCGACGCATAAATTCTTTGGATTTCTTCGACTTGATCATACAACATACAACTGGCCATGTATTATGTATGTTAAATAATGAAACTTTTCATTTTTCTAAAAAAAAGTAATGAAAATTTATTGTATTAAGCTACCCACCCTAATAAAATCAACCTTACTTAGTACCCCTAGCTTTTTTGCACTTCACCCAAAACTTTGGTTTTCATCGGTAAATGTACGGCTATTTTAGAGGGCGTGGCGAATACGGACGTCACAGAATTTTATATATAGATAGATGACATTATCTGCTTTCATCTTCTATTCTTTTACTATATTTTATTTAAAAAAAAAACATTTTAGAAAGCGCTAACGATAGTGAACACATTATGGCATTCTTGGGGAATAATTGCTAGTTGTATTCCAGATTTGTATGGCATTAAATGATAGGTACGGATCATTAATAGATCTTTGAGTAGTCAGATGACAGAATCACAGTGTTTGGGCTAAGATTTGAATCATTAAATACAATGGAGAAAGTTTGTTCGATAAATTGGCGAGGTGATGTGAACAAGTTTATTTAAAGTTAGTTCGATAATATTAGTAGTAGTGGTTGTAGTAATGGCAGTCAGAAGTCAACTTTACAAACTCCTCTCTATTCTGTCGCTATTTTCAATGAAAATATTCTGACGGGCAACATTTCCTCATTCCCCCAGTTCAGACCTTCACAGCTAAGACCGGCCATGACACATACACAGCCTTGAAACATCCTTATTCTATTTATTGATAAAAGAAGTTCCACGGGGATGGATTCTTCGTAAGAGGCGCCACAATATAGAGCAGACTCCCGAGAGGATACTTCCCCCAAAAATCTTACCCTCTTTATGTCTAAAATCAACCACTACTTATCGAATGTAACCTTGTAATCTGAACTTATTTCTCACTTCCCCAGACGACATTAGTAAAACAACCTTATTTTATAACCCCTCTACCTTGAAGTGGCCCTTAGGCCTAAGACTGAATAAACATTTATTTAAAGAGAAAAAACGTAATAGTAGTAGTAGTATTTTGAGAACGTTGAGATACGAAACTATAAGAAATTTACAATGGAGATCATGTGGTAGAAAGTTTCCTTAATGCTAACACTGATAATGGTTCGTCTACTTGTCCGGAAAGACTCTTCAAAACTCTTTAATGTGTATCATCAACGATGAGTATAATTGTTGGTTTTATATTCTGATCAAGATATTTTCTCAGAATTTCATTGTCTGTAACATTTTCCTCCATCGACAGCAAAAGACCAGCTTTCGATTTGTTCAGAAGAATTAAATTTGGTCTCTTGCCAAGAACATTTCTTTGAGAAAGTCATCACCTGTTGTTTTTCAGTAACAAAGAGGATTGCTTTCTACGTGTGAATTAACGATTACCTGAATAATAAAACTGCGGCTTAATTCACTTCGTAATTCATTAAGTAGCCTTGTCAGATCGACACTTCCATATGGATGACATGCATGACACTAAACTCGTTCAAAAATATCTAAACTGTCCGCTGTATATAACTGTTTTCTCCCGTCAATGACTTCGGGTTAATGAAGCATGTAGGTCTTAGTGACACCCATCCGTTTTGGAAGCGTGTGGACTGACGCTACAGAATCAAAAAGAACTGTACCAATTGTAACACGAAGAGAAATTAAGGACATAATCAAGATGTTGACATTCCACCCTACTTCAAACAAACCGGTAAGAATGAAACTCCTGTCAATACTAGAAAGAGCGATAACAGCCAATGGACTTGAGAAAACTGTTTTCCTGAAAATCTTTTTAAGAGAAATATTTTGTAAATTTCTACTAAAAAATAGCACTGGATTTTGGGTCAACGAATACAGAAAGTTTTCTTAAAAGGAATCGGTAATATTACTGTCATGGGTCCTTACCTATAACGACAGAATGAACTCTTCCTAACACTATGTATACTACGCCTCTCAAGAGAGAGGGACGAATCAAGCCGAGCTTCTCGACTTGACGGTCGAACTCTCTGCTTTTGAGCAGAAAGGAACCCGGACGAGGTTCCGCCGAAGGGCAGAATCTCGTTCGGGGTGAAAGACCTACCCTATCTCGTTTTTACGAGTTATACGGGCATATTTTTGGCTGAGCCTACGGGCTCAGGAAACCCACGATAAAAATGACCTTGTGTCGCATGCAACCCTCGTGGGGGGGTGGCTAGATACTGAATCAAGTCAAGTTTCTCGGCTTGACGGTCGAACTCTCAACCTCTGAGCAGAGAGGAACCCGGACGAGGCTCCACCGAAGGGCAGAGTCTCGTTCGGGGAGGTTGACCAACCCGATCCCGTTTATACTGGTTCTATGGGCATTTTTTGGCCGAGCCTACGGGCTCGGGAAACCCACGTTAAACTCGGCCTTGTGCCATATGCAACCCTCTTGGTGGGGTGGCTAGATACCGAATCGAGTCGAGCCGATAGTAGTTCACTCCAAACCAGACTGACAGTCATACTAACACCTTCCACATCTTGTATTATTATTTCGTGTAATATACCTTCGTTATTTCTACTCTTGTGTTCGTGTTGTTCTTCCTTGGTCCTAACCTGGAACATAACAATTACCATTGCCGTTAGCGATTAAGCAAACTGATACCACACTCTGATCCCATCCCGATAGCCAGGGAGTGAACAAAAGTGTTACTTAAGCAGTAACAGCTGCTTGATCAGTGAATGCTGAATGTTTCCTTATAAGAAAGCAACTAATATTACGATTAGTATTGCCATTGCTACTCACGGATTTTAATTTAAACCGGAGAGACCAGAGTATAAACTGAAAGAACTCTGCAGTTCATGGTATATTTCAAAAGCACTAGAAATGTTCATTAATTTCGAACTCACAAATAAATAAAATGGAGTGAAGCAGGAACGGTGGCTCCGTCTTTATATTTGCAATTCTCGTTAATTTTAAGTATCAAAACCTCTAGAACTAAATCACAGATGCACTGATTTCTTCTCTGATAAATTGTAAATTAGATAAAATTTCATTTTTTTTTCCTCAAAGTTACTGAAAGCTGCGTTGTTGTCACCATTGATTGCGGTGATCATTTATCCTTCAGCTGCCACGGGAAGCCAAAAAAGAACTGCTTCAAGTTGACTTTAGCGATGCTCAATGTTAAATTGGAACAAACGTTCTTGGTCGCTCTTTTACAGTCACTTGCTATTGAAGACAAAAACCTCGCGGAAAGATTCCACTCCCATTATTTACACGAAATTGGAAATGGATCGATTTTAGTCCTTTCTTGGTTGATTTTACTCAACCTCAGTCTATTGGTCAGTGCTATGACCTGTATAGCACTCAAACTATCGCCTCCTATCGATCACTTGGTTTGCTATTTTCTGCTCCTATCTTTCTCACCCTACCCAGAATGTATTTTTTTTAATCCTTTTTTTTTCCTGCAATACTTACCCTTAAGCAGTTTCAAGTAAATTTACATGTTGAATGCGAATTCAAAG